AGCTTTGTTAAAGGAGCTGTAGTTCGTGAAAAATCTTTTATAAATCTCCTATACCATGAGATGATGCCCAAAAATCGGCGTAGTTGTTTAACGGTTTTTGGCGCGGGATATTCGACTATAGCTTTTGTCTTGTTTTCGTCCACTTTTATTCCCGTTTTGTTTACTACATGGCCTAAATAATTTATCTCTTCTTTGCAGAATTTACATTTGTCTATATTAATTCGTAGTTTGGCCTGCTGTAGTCTGTGAAGTACTTCTTTTAAGTTTTCCATATGTTCCTCGAACGTTTTCCCCAGTACTATTATGTCGTCTAAATAGGCGAATGCATGTGGTTCCATTTCTGGGCCGATTATTGTATCTAGTAATCGTTGAAAAGTAGCGGAGGCGGCGTGTAATCCGAATGGAAGTACTTTGAACTGGAATAGTCCTTTTCCTGGTGCTATGAAAGCGGTTAAGGGTTTGCTTGCTTCGGAAAGTGGTACTTGCCAATATCCATTTTTTAGATCCAACGTGGTAAAATATTTTGCAGATTTTAACTTTTCTAGGATATGATTGATGTACGGTAATGGGTAGGCATCTTTTTCTGAGATGTCGTTGATTTTCCTAAAATCGATGCAAAATCTGTATCCGTTGTTATCCTTCTTTTTTACTAGAACGATGGGGGAACTGTACGGGCTATTAGATTTTTCTATCACGTTCTCTTCTAGCATCTTATCTATCTCATCGTTTATGATCTTCTGCATTGCCGGGTTTCGGGGCCTGTATCTTTGTTTGATCGGTGTATTATGTTTAAGTTTTATTGTATGTTCGGTTAGATGTGTTGTTCCTTTAATGTGTTTAAATTTCTCCAATTCGGTTAGTAACAATTCCTGTAATTGTTTTTTTTCGGTATTGTTTAGTGTAGTACTGATGTCGAGCTGCTCCCGTTTCGGACTGTTCGTGAATTCCGGTATGTATGACGGAATGTCTTCGGTCTGGTCGTCGGCCGCGGTATCGGTCGGTAGTTCGGTATATCTTCGGTCTGGTTGTCGACCGCGGTATCGGTCGGTAGTCGGTATATTTTCGGTCTGGTCTTCGACCGCGGTATCGGTCGGTAGTCGGTAGGTCGTTTTGTTATATATCTTGCTTCTCTGTTGGAGCGGATATCTTGCGGTTGGTGTTTCGTTGACCCTGGAATTGGTCGGTATTCGGTTATTGTCTGCCTTGTACGATCTGGATCTGTGTTCTGTCCTGGTTTGGTATTGTTCTCTCCTTCTTACGCGATTTCTATTTAAGATGTTTGATAAATCCAGGCCCCGTCTTGTTATTTCATGCATTCCCAGTACTACTTCTGAAGCTAGGTTTGGTAAAAAATGTAGCTTGGCTTTTCTCCAAACGTTGTCTATGGAACATTTTGCTGTAAAACAGATTTCTATGTTGCTGGTTTTTCCATCTGCCAGCGTGATCTTTAAAGCTTTTCTGTCGCTTTTTGTTCCACATTGTTCCAATATTTTTTTACCTTTTTGTCCTATAAACGAATTTTGGGCTCCTGTGTCTATTAGTGCTTTTAACTTTTTACCGTTGCTGAACGTTATCGTTGTGTGGGGTCGTTGATCTGTATAGTGTGCGTAGCTGGAGGTTGTTAGGGAGGACTCTAAATGCTGACTGGGTTGCCTCCTTCTTGTCCAGTCCTGTTGGAGTTTTCCGGTCGGCTTCTACATTGGCAGTTATTGGAAGTTGTTCCTCGGGTTCCGCAGTGGCTGCAGAAGAGTACAGCGATAGCTCTGCAGTTTCTTCTGTTGTGGCCTCTGCGGCCGCATCTCCAACAACAAGTCTGTCTGTCGAAATTCTGTATTTTGTTATTACGACTATTTGTCTGTGTCCAGTCACACCTTGTATTGTTTCTGTTATATATTTCTTTTTGGACCATATCATATTCTTCCGCTAGTCTGATGATGTCCTGTGGTGACGATACGTCTTGCCTCTTTATATACAACTTGTATTTCGGGTTCATATTGGTGTATATCCTGTTTAGTTCTTCTTGGTGATTGAATTCACCATGTCTTCTGATCATTGTTTGAATATCAATGATGTAGTCTTTTACACCTTCGTTGTTTCGTTGGAGTCGGTTCCGGATTTGAGCTTCCAGAGATTGCGTGAGAACGGAGGAAACGAAGAAATTGCGGAAATCTTGTTCGAAGTCTTTTAATTCGTTCCAATATTTATTATTGTTTCTGTACCATAGTAATGCTTTCCCGTTTAATGTTTCTGGTAGAGCTTGTAAAACGTGGGTGTCTTGTAGGCCGTAAGCTGTCTGGAGTTCTTTCAACCGTTCTATGAATTCTATTGGGTCTCTTGAACCGTCAAAGTGCAACCCCCATTTGCGTACTATTTCCATCTTTCTTTGTCTGTCTTCCATCTGGTTTTCTTCTATTTCCTCTGGGTTTTGGCCTTTTTGAGTTGGTGCCTTGATGATCGCAACTAATCTCGCTCTTAGCTCGCTGAAATTCCCTTCCGTCGACTGTTCTCTGTTTGTTAATTCGGCTATAAGTTCGTCTTTCTTTAATAGGTACACCCAACTAACCTTCGACGTTTCCGGAGCGTCTGTCATTTTTGAACTGTGAATCACCCTGTATTTGAATAAAGTTTGAAATGCAGTACTGTCTCATGAAAATAAAATTCGGAATTCGGTCGGTATTATTGTTTAAAACGAATTTTTCTGCTCGGGCGCCATCTGTGACGTCCTCTCGTAGGAGTCACTATCCGGGTAGCTTTTGGACAGTCAGAGACAGAGCTCAACACGCTCTCCGGCTGGCGGTATGGAACGGAAACAACTTGTGAACTCAACACGTCCACAAGCCGGGGTAGGGGAGAAGAGAACCTTCAGTCAACACCTGACGATTCTGCCTCTATGAGGAAATAATGCGGTTTATATAGCAAAGTTTTGCCCTTTCTACTGTCGATACACTCCTACTTCATGGGTTGGTTCGCGCGCACGCTGGTTTAACGGTGATGGCTTGGACTCATCGTTACATATATATATATATATATATATATATATATATATATATATATATATATATATATATATATATATATATATATATATATATATGTACTAACTTGATGTAATCTATTTACTAAGCATTGCAGTGCTTCTAGACTGTCTGCAAAAACAGCGGTGTCATCTGCGAATCTTACGTTGTTCAAAATTTTTCCGTTTATTGATATACCCTGTTGTTCCTCTGATATTGCTTTTTCCACATTCTTTTCTTTTACCAGTTTTACGAGTTTCTGATGTCGTACTCTATCAAAAGCCTTTTTATAATCTATAAGCATTTTTATAATCTATAAAGCAGACATACAGATCCTGATTCATATCTAGTCGTCTTTGCGCGAGATCGTTAAAAAGCAAACTGAGCTTCTCTCAGTCCTAGTCCTCCTCTAAATCCTAACTTGGTGCCAGCTATATCATGTTCTATTTTTTGTATAGTCTTCCAGGTATTATTTTGAGAAATAACTTAAGTGTGTGGCTTATTAAAAAAATTGTTCGGTACTGGGAGCATTCTATCACATGTACTGACTTTGGTAGTGTTACAAACGTGGACAACAAACGTGAAATTAAGCAATTGGAGAACGTTTAATAAAAATATGTTCTGGATGCTATCACTTTAGATTTGGAGGTGTGTTGTTTGGAAATGTGTGGTCCAGCAATATATTTAAGTTTAGTGAAACAGTTTTTTTAGCTCACATTTAAAAAACCCGTAAAGGGTAATAATTATGGCAATCATCTCAACTAAGACAGATATCATTGTGCAATTTGATGGGGATACACAAAAAAAACATAAGCTATTTGACGGTAATTTTATTGACATAATTTTCAGTAGACTGGCGTAGTAGAACGGGCTTTGTGTTCCAAAAATCTGAAGAGTATGTATCATCTGTCATTACCACGCAGACAGTTCATCCGAAATAAAATAAATATGTGTTGATGAAACATATGTAAATCATCTTAGGTTTACTATAGATTAGACACAATTAAGGACGATATATCACACTAAATACAATGATGTTAGAACTAGAAAAATATATCTGAAAAAAGAAATAAAATAAACCAAAAAGAAACAAAAATATGACTAAGGCATGTACGAAAATAAAACAAGAATTAACTATTTTGTGTCCAATACTTGTTTTTCATCTTTAAAGGAAAATCTGCATACAGACATATGTGACTCACCCAGGTAGTGTTGGGCTCCTAATACCATAACAAAGTTGTGCCAGGATGAGATGCTCGAAGGAGTTAGACCTTTGACATTTCGTCCAACTAAAAACCTCTTCTCTGTCACTCCAGGCAGGAGAGAAGGGCTGATTAAGGCAAAACATATCTCCTGATGCCATGCTATTACCCGATTTCCATTCATTTTTCCACACATTCATTGGGAAGAGCACACTTACAGGAACCACCACAGACTTTTAACATTTTGCCTTAGCGAGGCTGCCATCTCCCTCGGGTCATCTGTCTCTTACTTTCTCCTATTTCGACTGGTGACAGTTCGAACCCCACCAAGGTGCTACTCGCTCATTATAGAATACTGTTGCGAGTTCCCTCTCCTTTCGTTTTTTTAAAGAGAGCAGCTCACTCATAAATTTGTGGATCCGAGTCTACCAATGCTCATCTTTCATCATTTTCTATACCAATTCTCTAACGGAATCTAACAGTCTCCACTTACACTCTCTATCAAACTTATCTCTTTCATTCGCCCAATACTTCAACATAGTATGTGTCACAATATCCAAAAGACCTGCCCGAATATGCGCCAAATAATAATCCAGCTGCCTATGCCCATAGTCCACCCAGCTTCGAAGGTTCATCCACATCTCGTGTTGAGTCCTACTTTTGCTGCCACTCGCCGATTGAAACTAATCTCTCGACCAGTGTTACTTTACTAACCTCTCGTTCTTGAATGTTCTACCCCCCAAGACGATGAATACAGTTACAGTTAATGTAAAAATAATGTCATTTAATTAAGTAAAATATAATATTTTATACTGTTTATTAATATTTCTATGTATTACAAATCATCGACTATTCCCTTAATCCAAGAAATATAATTAAAAACATTAATAAATATTCCTGATGGCACATAGAAATCCGCGTGGTATATGTACACATTTAGCTGGTAAGACAAAACGCCATAAACCACACCGTTTTGAACCAAAGGCCCTCCATTGTAACCTCTGACAAAAGCGGCAGTTTTTGCGTCCTTTGGTCCTGTGCAGAGGTTTTCTTCTTCGTTCAGGTAGATATCATCCCAAGCTTCATCGAGGGGTTCAGTATGACCAAGGGCTACGTAGGCGGCTACTTGATCATAGCAAGCTAAAAAGAATACAAAAATTAGAAACATTGTCCTAATTAGAACTTGGTAACATTCCTGTCAATTTTTATTTAATTAATGTGTCTTGAATACAGAGATCATTAAGACAGCTTAATAAATAATATGCAAATCTGTACATAAAAGTTCTAATAGTACAATATTGGATTAGAAATACATCGATATTTAAATTTTGTAAAACATATTTATAGCCTTCTACTAATAGGCGAAGATTGGCGAAGTTTTTAGCTAAACAAGTACAAAGAAGCAGAAAAAATAAACTTGATGTAATAAAGGATTCTTTTGTTAAATAAATTTAGCGAGCCAAGTCAGCTAGTAAAAAAGTAGACGAGATAACAATATTATCGTATGGTACTTTTGCCAGGGAGATTTTTTCAGATTGTTCTTGCGCCAATTACATATTTAACCCTGTTTCAAGTAATTATTAACAACTCACACTAGCTCATTGGGACTAACGGCTTTACATGTCCTTCGAAACGGCTCGGTACATTTTTAAAATTTCGTTAAGCTTCTGGTACTGTTGTAGCTGCTGCGTTGTCTACAGTTCACGATGTCAGTCTATTGGATCAATAATTCTAATACTACTTTCTAGTGGCATGGTTACGTTAGATATTATGTTTTTATAGGCAGAAGACACAATTAATGGTTTTAATTGTGATGAAAATCACATTTTAATTATCTAATATTTGACGCTTCGATTTGCACTCCAGAAATCGTTCTCAAAAAAAATTTTTTGTTCAAATGATGTAAAAATATGTATAACCATTAATAACCAATAACATAATCTTTGCTTATACATATTTTTACATAATTTGTACAAAAAACCTTTTTTGAGAATGATTTCCGGAGTGGAAATCGAAACCTCAAATATTACTCAATTAAATATGTGATTTTCATCACAATCATCATCATCATCATTTGGCTCTACAACTCTAGGTGAGTCTTGGCTGCGTTTACTATTTACCTTCATTGTTGTCGGTCCTGAGCAGCTAGTTCCCACTGCTGCATTCCCATTTTACGTAGATCACTGGCCACTGCGTCCTTCCATCTCTTTCTTGGGTGCCCAACTGACCTTCTGCCATCGGGCTTTTCCCAGAATGCGGTGTTCAGAAGTCTTTCGTTATTTGACCTTAGGACGTGGCCCGCCCATCTTATTCGGTTTGCTTTAATGTAACGGACTATATTTTCATCTCCATATATTGACTGGAGTTCATTATTGTGTCTTCTTCTCCACTCTCCTGTTGTTTCTGCTCTACAAGGCCCATATATAGTCCGCAGTATCTTTCTTTCGAGAACCAGTAATTTTGTCGTTTCCCGCTGGTTCAGTGTCCATGCCTCGCTTCTATACGTTATTGTGGGTCGAATTATTGTCTTGTATACTCTTATTTTTGCGTATCTTTGGAGTATTTTTGATTTAAGGATGGTCATTAAAGAGTAATATGTCCTGTTTCCAGCTATTATCCTGGCTGCCACGTCATTTTCATATTTGTATTCAGATGTTATGATCGCTCCCAGATACTTAAACTCTTTGACGACTTCGAAGTTATATTCGTTAATTGTTAGGTTTTGCCTAACCCTTGGTCTTGGATTCTTCGTAACTACCATGTACTTGGTCTTATCCTCGTTTACCTTAAGACCAATTTCCTTGGCTCCGGTCTCGAATAGGGTAAAAACTTTTTTTGCAGCTCTGGTGGATTGTGCTATTGTGTCCACGTCATCCGCAAAGGCCAATAGTATTTTTGATCCTTGTGCAGCAAATCCGTTTGTCAATTGTGGCTGAGCTTTCCTTACTGCATGTTCCAGTGCGAAGTTAAACAGCAGGGGAGCGAGAGGATTTCCTTGTCTAAGCCCGGTGTCAATGTGGAATTCCTCCGACGTGGCATTGCCAATTCTGATCCGTGCGGAAGCGTGCTCCGTGCTCACCTGTGCTAATCGTACCAGCTTTTCAGGTACTCCCAATTCTACCATGGTCTTCCACAATGCCTCTCTGCTAACAGAATCGTAGGCTTGATTAAATTCCACGAATATTTGGTGTAAGTCGCGATTGAATTCCAAGTTTTTTTCCAACACTTGGCGTAGGACGAAGATCTGGTCTATGGTCGACCTTCCCGGTCTGAATACACTTTGATAGTCACCTATTATTTCCTCTGCGTATGGAGTTAGTCTTCTAAATAATATTGTGGATAAAATTTTATATGTTGTATTGACTAACGATATTCCCCTATAATTGCGACATATTTGTTTGTCTCCCTTCTTGTGGATAGGTATTATATGACTTGCTTGCCAGTGTTTCGGTATTTCTTCTCTTCCCAGACTTCTATTATAAGATGATATATCTCAAGATGTAGCTTTTCTCCTCCTTTTTTTAGTAGTTCCGCCTGTATGCTGTCTGGTTTTGGGGCTTTATAATTTTATAGGGACGAAATTGCGGACTTTACTTCAGCTAGTGTGGGCTCTATTATTTCAGGTTCGGCTAACTGGTATTGTCTGTGTTGCCCCGTTGTTGTGGGAGTTTCTGTATTTAAAAGTTGTCTAAAATACTTTATCCATTGACGGATTATCTCCTCGTCGTCGGTAAGTAATTGCCCTGTATCATCTTTTATAAATCTTGGGCTATTGGTCGTGTTGCCCTTCATTGTTTTTAGGTCCCTATAAAACTGTCTAGACTGCCGGGTTCTATGTTCCTCCTCGAGTTGCTGTATTCGCGCTTCTAGGTACTGTTTCTTTTTTTCTTCTCAAAAGTCTTCTCGTCTGAGCCCTTACTCTGTTGTAGTCTTCTCACAATCACAACCAATAATTGTAGCTTAATTGCATAAAACATATTATTTAACATAATCAATAACGTTAATAGAGGATCTAGGCAAATACCCGAGTTATAAGGTTGAAAATGATCTTTACAAACATCTTTTTAACCACTTTGATCTTCGTTCTTCTCACTTCAACTGGATGATTTCTTGTAGTTCGTATCAAATTCGGATGTTGGCGATCATCATGGCAATCTGTATTTTGCTGCTCTGAAAAGATTTCTAGTTGTTGTGTAGAAAGCCACGTACGTAGATATTTCAGCCAGAAAATCCTTCGTCTTTCTGGTTCTCGTTTTTCTTCTACTTTTTCTTGTAGACTTAATTGCAGCAACCCACATCTTTCACTGTTTCTCAGGATGTGACCGATGTAGTCATTTTGTCTATTTTGGCAGGTAGCTTCTGTGAAAGTCTACCACTCAACTCCGTACAACAGTATAGGAAAGATATATCATCGTAGTTACCTGATTTTTATGAGTACTGATAAATCATGCCATTTGAAGAGCTTAGGCATTTTTTAAAATAAAAATCTTACTTTCTCTAACCTACATGTTATTTCTAGGAAATAGTCCTAATTTTCATTGACGTTCGTACCAAGATAGGTGTATGTCTTTAGTCTTTCTATGGGTTTACCATTCAAACTGATTATTTTAATTTGCTGTTCCTTCTTAGAGATCATCATACATTTTGTTTAATTAATGTTCGGTGAAAGTCCACATCTCTACCTCACTTCTGTGATTCTATTTAATAACTCCTGGAGTGCTCCATAACTGTCAGCGAATACAACCGTGTCATCCGCGTATCTAATGTTATTGATTCATTATCCGTTATTCCGAATTTCGGCTTTAACAACCTCTACTGCTTCTTAAAAGATTTCCTCAGAATATATGTTTGTACAGAAAGAGTGACAGTATACATCCCTGTCGGGCCTCACGTTTGATTTTGATATCATCGGATTCTCCTGCCTTTGTACGGATAGACGATATTTGATTCCAGTAAATATTGCGAATAATTCTTAGATCATTCTTAGGTCACTTTGGGCCTTTATAAAACTTTAGCTTATGTGTCAGAATTATATTATTTGCCTAAGATGCGATTGACGATTTACAATTATGTTTAGAAATGTCAAGTGTGTGCTGCTTGTAAACCTGCAAATCTCCCTCAAACTGATTTGATGAATTCTTATTGAAATATCAATCATCCATCACAAATAATGTCATGTGATCTATTGGTTCTTATCTTGGTTCAAAAAATGGTTACTCATTCGTGTTTGTGGTAGTGGATTGGTTCACGAAATTTTCGATAGTTCAGCCTGTGTTTACACTTACGTCAAGAGATGTATGTTGATTTTTAGAATATCACGTTTTTCTTATTTTTTGTGCTTCTCAAATTGTATGTTGTGATAAAGGTAAGTAATTTACCTCTAACATATTTAATAATCTTATGTGTTTTGTTAAGAAAATATTTCTAATGCGAATTTCCATTCTCAAACAGAACGTGTAAACACTTCTATTGTTACTGTTATACGTCGGTCTCATGAAAATTATGGTACATACTTGGGATAAAAATATACATCAGATAGGTCAAGTCATTCGCTTGTCTAAACATGAAATAACTAGACAACCACCATCATCAGAAGATTCGTGTCAATCTATGAAACGATGCTAAACAAAATTATCTTTTATAAACGTTAAAACTTATATGGACGTCTAGGCATCCAACTGTTTGGTTGAGTCAATAAAAGTAATTTAGACATCATCCGACGATTCCAAAATAAAGTGCTAAAGAACATTGTCAACGCTCATTGGTACTATAGGAACAGTTACCTCCATAGTGGAAATGGACACTGTTAACAGGACCATAAAAGTGTGTCAACAGTCAGAAACAACGACTTCTTCAACTCTTAAATGTTGAACTTACTAACAGCGAATTTGGTTAGAAGACTCAAAACGACAATGCCCTCCAAGTAAGTTAATGGAAAAGTTAAAAGTAGAAATTAATGCAGTATATTATTTAACCTAATGAATTTTAGTGAGTTTGTCCTTAGTCGAAAGCTTTTTGTAATAATTTAGTTTGGACAAAAATTGAATAATCAGATTGTAATGTTCATACTTTTGGATTATATAAAAAAACCGAAACTTAAAAAAAAGCAAATATGTGATGTACATCATTATTATGACTTTAGAGCTGCATTTTGCTTATCTTTTAATCCATGTTGTCGTTTGGTTTGGTATTTTATATAGCTTACAAGAACATTTTTAAGAACAAGTAGATTGTTGCAGTATTGGCACAAAGATAGGACCTCAGACTCCATCAGATGTACAAGTGATAACCAGATATGTCCATATCTAATCTACTTAATGTCATACTTGATTTTATGCAATTTCTGACAAAAAATTCATCTACAATTAAGTGAAGGACGATTACAGTAATGTTTTAGATATTTGTCAATTAGGATCCTCGCAGGATTAGTGGTTCATAATAGCGCTACGTTTGCTGCACGATTAGCGGTTGTCTTAAATTCAGATAAAGACTGAAGAAGGATAGCAAGTTGATTGTCAAGGAGACTCCTTATGAGACGATAAACAGAATAATTGGAGTCTGGATGCTAGAGAGTCAGAGCATTTAGCCAGTGAGGTAAATGAGTAATAGTAAAGTCGATCCGATGACTTTATGATGTGAACTTTTCCCAATAGCTTAGCTGTGTGAATAATGCAACTTCACGAAAGGATCAAGGTCTTGATGGTATTTTTTAAAGAAGTAAAGTTAAACGTATCGTGCTTTATTTTTTTAGTTGAGACTGTGTTTTTTTAGAGTTTTAGTATATGGTGAGAAGTAACGATTATTTTAGGGACTCTAACAGTCAAGTGTACTTTCAATAAGAGAGATAAGTGCAGTTGTCTAATGATGGATGTCGGTCGTAGCAAAAGTGGAAATTTTGGAAAAAGGGCCAGACTAAGTTGTTAATACTAGCTGATATGTTTACAATATAGTTCGGTAGTAGATGTTGATGTCTAACCCGGTGGTTCGTTGGATATCTTCCAAATTAAAATCACAGTGTTAATGAGTAAATGGCTACAAAAAACAAACCAAAAATTGTAGATTGTTGAAAAACTTACTTTTATAATCTAAAAATGGTACACTTCTTAATTGTAGGATGCTTCGCTGTATAATAGGCACAGCAGGCCAACCAGCAAAGTCAAAGTTGCTGGTTAAGTCTGCATCTGCTTCAGGAAGTTTGATAATTTTCACATTTTCGTTTAATTCCACATCACGATCTAGTTTTACCAAAGCAATATCGTTCAGAGATGGGTTGCGAGATTCTCTAAAAATATGGAAAGTTAGGAATTAATTAAAAAATGTATATAAAAAATTTAAAATAACTGTATGTGCTTTAAATACATAATGTTTTGTTAATTTATTTGAATTCGTATAATTTATTTGCATGAATATTAACCTAATTATCGCAAAAGTGAATGTACAAAATGTAGACTTCTAACTTTTTGATTTCGTTTTCTGTTATTTAGAGGTACCTACGGACTTGTCGTGATGTGCTTTATATTCTAGGTCTGTTTTAAGTTAACAGATGTCAGTACCAGGTAACGTCCCACAAAGAAATTTTTCACGCTATGGGATTTACCGGACCTACGTATCTGGTTATTATTTTTATAGTAAATAGTGTACACGTGGGTTGTCTTTTTACAATCAATAAAAATGTCGTCTAGAGGCGAAAAATGATTAAATTGTTGCTGAATAAGCACCAAAGCGCTTGGATACAAACTGAAAGTGAATCTGATAGTGATCCATTTAAAAACTTGTCATAAAAATCCTGAATACACCCTTAGTGAAGAAAGCGACAATTCTGATGAGGCCTAATCCATAAATTTGAACGAAGAAGTAATTTGATTCTCATTATCTTTATTTTTAGGTGATGCTGGGGAATATGTATTTAGTGACATTCAGAGAACAGATAAATTAGATTTTGATGAATATCCTATAGATTCTAAAATAAATATGTAATGTGAAAATATAGGGTATAGGGTAATTCTTGTCTCCTTCTCTTCCTAAAGCTGTAAATTTTTATAATCCACTGAAAAATATCGAAAAAAAAATTTAACCCGTTAAAAACAATTATTTATGAAGTTGTAAAATTGTAGTTACAAACATTTAGAGCTGCAGCGCCCCCTAATACGATAGTAGTACGATACGAGTAGTACGATATTAGTAGATACTTTTCGATAGTGATATAAAATACAGGGTATTCTATTTAAAATTACCAAGAAAATAATGTACTTGGATTTTGACTTACTCTGTATTTGATTTAACGAATATTATGAAAACAAATATGTTTTATAATTTTTAACAATTATTGAAAAACTATGGTTGCAATAGATCAATGTTCGTATACTCCTTTTTAATTACATAGGAAGTTAAACTTCGATTTTCGCATTTTCGAATCGATGAAAACGATTTTCAGGTAATATTATTTGTAACTTTTTAAATACCCGGTATAATATAATAAAACTTTTACATCGTTCTGCAGTGAAAGTGAAGCAGATTTCAATTAAAATATAGGGTGTTCTATTTAAAAAATATAAGTTTGGTCTGCCACTATCTTATAGAACACCATGTAAGATTGTAGCTGTAGCTAATTTGGTGTAATAAAATAATAAAATATGGAGTTTAAAAAAGCTATCTACTTTTTGACAATAACTTTTTTTGTAATTTTTACCATAACAGATCGACCACATTAATCAATATATATATATATATATATATATATATATATATATATATATATATATATATATATATATATATATATACATATATATATATATATATACATATATACATATATGTATATATATATATATATATATATATATATATATATATATAATATATATATAATATATATATATACATATATGTATATATATAATATATATACATATATGTATATATGTATATATATATATATATGTATATATATATATATATATATATATATATATATATATATATATATATAGCGAGATGAGACAGAGCGACACTCTCTTACCTAAATTATTCACAACGGTACTCAAAGACGCCTTTAAAAGTCTAAAATGGGAAAATAGAGGAATAAAAATAGACATGGAAATGCTCAACCAACGGCGTTTTGATGACGATATAATACTTATTTCCAAAAATCTGCGTGAAACACAACAAATGCTACAAGAATTAGAAAACGTATCTTCAACAATAGGTCTAAAAATTAACATCAATAAGACCAAATTTATGACAAATTTGATTCCCAGCGAACACCTAATCATCCAAAATCAAGTGGTAGAATTGACAGTATATATAAAATATATATCTTGGTCATAACATCAGAATAAGCAAGGATAATCAGACCTGTGAATTTCAACGACGAATAACACTTGCTTGGGCGGCGTATGGTTCGCTAAGAGACATCTTCAACATCCCGATAGCTATGAAACGGAAGACATTTGACCAATGCTTTCTTCCTATTATTACATACGGAGCAGAAACTTTCACAAAAACAACAGCACCAAAAATGCGAGTGGCACAAAGGACCATGGAAAGATCGATTCTCGGCGTGACAAAAAAAACAAAATAAGGAAGACCTAAGGAAAAGAACAGGTATCGCTGATGTCGTCGAACGTATAGTCAAGCTGAAATGGAATAGGACAGATCACAGAGCGAGTCTAAAAGACTCAAGATGGACCAGAAAACTACGTGACTGGCGCCCAAGAAAAGACTAACGCAGCTGAGGACGACCACCAATACGCTGGATGGATATTTACTGTCATATTGAATTTACAATAGAAACAGAACAAAATCAAGCCATAAATTTTTTAGATTTAAAAATTAGCAGACTTCAAAACAAACATGACTTCTCCATATTTCATAAACCTACCCATACTGACACGACTATACACAATTCGTCATCCCATCCAACACAACATAAACTGGCAGCTTATCATAGTATGTTACATAGATTAACAGAAATTCCGATGTCAAAATACAACTTTGAGACAGAATTAAATATAATTAAGCAGATAGCAGTAAACAACGGATACAACGAACAAACAATTAATAAAATGTTAAATCAAAAACTACATAAGAAAGCCTTGAAGTTAGAATTTCTACCACCAGAGAAAAAACCCAGTACCTTCTGCTCGATTACATATACAGGCAAAATAACAAAAATTGCCAAACACATAAAAAAGAAAGGAATAACACCAGCTTTCCGAACAAATAACAACCTAGGCAAATATATTAAAAATAACAAGAGCCAAAATAAAAAACACTTAAATAGTGGTGTGTACAAACTTCAATGTGGCGACTGCCCAAAAACTTACATCGGTCAAACTGGTAGAAACTTTGATAAACGAATAGCAGAACATAAAAGGGCTTTCAAGAATAGAAAAACAGATTCGACATACGCACTTCACCTTCTAGATCATAATCATTCTTTTAATGACAAATTTAAAATTCTTCACATTCAAAATAAAGGCCTTAAGCTATCTTTGTTAGAATCTATGGAAATCAACAAATTAAAAAACACAGATATAATTCTGAATGACCAACTTGAGACAAACAGTTCTCCCCTCCTCAACCTATTTCATTAAAGACTATAAATTTGTAAACCCAAGCCAAAATAGATCACTTGAGAAAGGCAATCAGCCGAAACAGCTGTAGTGATAATATTTAAAATAAATTTTGTGGAAGTTTGAAAACAAAGTTTTCAGTGTTTTATTGTTACTTAGAATATAAGTCAAAAATGAACAGGGTTCGTACTTACAAAAGCAATTTGTAGGCTAGGTTAGGTTAGGTTAGATTAGGTTAGGTTAGGTTAGAACCAATGACGCTATTTAATATGAGACCATATTTTATCGAATGTATTGACAAATGAATTAACGAAAATGGTGGACATACTGAACACTTACTTTGACAAAAAGTTTAATTTTATTTACTTTAACTATTTCTTAATTTGGTTTGTAAATAAAATGTTTTGATTATGACTTTAATTTAAGTAATACAAAACGTAAAATATTTGATGTAAAATCCAATTATTCTGTTATTTATCAAATCCTATTATTTTATTCTACCGATATATTTATTTTATTTAATAATTCATTAAATATTAACTTTATTAAAGGTATTTTATACCAAAATTAAGAAGTATTGATGTTTTTCTTTTTAATTGTCTTTCGTTGCCTGGAGTAATTGCGATAAATCAGAATTATGTAACAAAAAGAGAAATCATACGACTTCTACCTGGCGAAATCGAATTCAAATATAGGCCGCCGTGCTCCCTAAGACTTGCGAAGCAAACAGCTTGATGAATGCATCGGCAAGGGAGTCTAAAAATTGCACTCCAAATGCCGTTCATCATGGCCTATATTCGTAGTGAATTCGATTTCTGGTACTCCAAATGAAGTAAATAAACAAAACAAATGACGGTGTTATATTTTGATTTGATACAGAGCAGCAACAAGCCGCATATACGCATTTCGATCTCTTTAGATCTCCTCATTACGGTATAGTTACTACTCCATATCAAACCAAAATATTTTCCGGTCGTAGATTATAGTTATTAAAAATAACTATTTACGGACGTAACTACGCCATCTAAGAACAAAAAGAGAAATCATACGATTTCTACCTGGCGAAATCGAATTCAAATATAGGCCGCCGTGCTCCCTAAGACTTGCGAAGCATACAGCTTGATGAATGCATCGGCAAGGGAGTCTAAAAATTGCACTCCAAATGCCGTTCATCATGGCCTATATTCGTAGTGAATTCGATTTCTGGTACTCCAAATGAAGTAAATAAACAAAACAAATGACGGTATTATATTTTGATTTGATACAGAGCAGCAACAAGCCGCATATACGTATTTCGATCTCTTTAGATCTCCTCAGTACGGTATAGTTACTACTCCATATCAAACCAAAATATTTTCCCGTCGTAGATTATAGTTATTAAAAATAACTATAATCTACGACGGGAAGTAAATAACTATAATCTACTAATATATATATATATATATATATATATATATATATATATATATATATATATATATATATATATATAATTATATATAACTATATGAGTGAGATATACTTACGTCATATTAAAATCAGGATGCCGCTCAATTCTTGAAATAGTAAATGATTGACGCGATGGGTCGTTTTGTTGTACAAAACCAGCGGAAATCTCTTTCACTGTATTCCATTGGGAATTAGATTTTACGCAACTAGCTGAAGTTAAAACCCAAGATTTGCTTACAAGCACGCCTCCACACTCGTGATCAATTGTTTGACCCCATATGGCGTCGTCTTCAATATTTAACGAAACAATCCATGGAAAATCTCCCAAATTGGCGTCTCCGTTGGTTAATCTGTTTGTTGGAATGGCTGAAATAAAAATTTAAAATTATTACTAAATTTCTCGTTGTAGTGCCATCTTCATTATATGTTAGCAAAAATCAGTGACGTTATTAGCAAAGCGTTTTACCACTAAAAAGATGCTTAGAAACAAAATATACCTACTATTTTTTTTTGCATTTCTAGTGCATCAAACCTTTTTTTCCTTGATTTGATATACTTTTCTATAAGTTCAAAATGTATTTTTTTTTAATTTTTCCAAATGGGGCTTCAATTGTTCTTAACAAATAACTTTTGTTAATATACAAAAAAGAATTTCGCCGAATCCCTTCGGGTTTTTTTATAGCCACATCTCATCACAATAAACACTTTTTCTTTCTTGGTAATTTTTCGAAAAATGCTTTATTTTTGAGATATTTGCATTTTTTGTGAAAAACTGCCTTAATAGGTGATGTTTTAGGGTTTTTTGGATTTTTTTGTAAATAAAATCCCTTTTTACAAAAGCTTTATAATCTTTAAACCTTCAAGTACAAGTAAGAATAAATGGTTTCCATATCGCTGAAAATATGGACCCAAATATTTCGAATATGCATTTTGAGCAGTCTACCTCTAAGCGTGTACAGCGCCAGCGGTTGCGGCGGTACAGTTGCTTTAATATACGTGGTGAATAATATTAAATGTGTTATTATTGTAAAACATTATATTTTTAGATTTGTTCTATTATCGCGTCTTGCCATTAGGTTTTTATATTTTATTAGCCATTCTCTTGTCCCTGGGGGACACTTTTAACTGCCTACGTCATGTGCACATATTATGGACCAATTAAATGGGTATAGCGAGCCTATAGTATTTCCTCACGTAACTAATATTGACTGAAAGAAGCTGATATAAAAATAAAACTCCAATAGAAAATATACGAAAACTTTGATAAATTAGATACTAACACTTACGAGATAAACCATTAATGGGAGACATTAAAAAACTGCCTCATCGTTTCTTGCAAAGAGACATTAAAAGAACCGATAAGAAAGAGAGATGGAAGAAAAAAAAGAAGACAAGCCAAGGACAAAGATAGTCACAATTACAAAATCATTAACAAAGAAATCAAGAAAATGATAAGAGAGGCAAAACAAACTTACTATGAGGAAAAATGTAAAGAGATAGAAGATCTTTAGAACAAATACGACCTATTTAACCTACATAAAATGGCTAAAGAAATGACAGGGCTGCAAAAAAGAAACTACAACACAACTCTTTTAGATAAAAATACTATGATGGACATACTATTATGGCGACTGACGAAAAGCCAAAACGATGAAAAGAATATATGGACGAGCTCTTCGACAACGAAAGAGGAAACTTCCAAGACATATCTTTCGAGGACAGAGAAAAAAGTATAGAAATTACAAAGGAAGAAATATTATATGCACTAAAGAACACCAGAAACTGAAAAAGTCCGGGGCCAGATCAACTGCCTATTGATATCCCTAAAATAATAGTAAATGAGTACATGTTAGATGCCAACCCCTAGTGTTGGCGAAACGTTGAGAAATAATCTCAGAATACAACGGCCTAATAGCTCGAATAAACGGTTTAACAAGTTATACTTCAATTAATTACACAAGGGAAATCCAGGGCAAGAGAAGTGTAGCAAAGAGAAGAATCTCATGGTTGCGTAACTTGAGGGAATGGTATGGATGCACATCAATCGAACTATTTAGAGCGTTAGCCTCTAAGATCCGAATAACCATGATGATTGCCAACCTCCGTCGCGGAAATGACACGTAAAGAAGAAGATATGATAATATATCCAGCACTCAACATCCAACATCCTTTGGAAAACTGCAGAACCGCTGTACCTAAACCAATTTTCGTGTGAAGAATTTATCCCGCTAGAAGAAACATTATAATGCCAAGCATTATTGTTCGAGGAAGTCCTCGCCACTACGTTTGAAACCAGCAATGTTTCGGAGGATTTTAGGGATTTAAAAGAAAGTTAAATACTTTAGATCTAAACGAAAAGTCAACAGACAAAGAGATAGGTACTTAAAAACATACAGAAAGGTTAGTAGAAAATGACTAAATTAAAATAGAAAATAACATTCACGTTACCCTAAAAAACAAACCACAAACCATTAAAAAACTAGTTTTACAAATATTACATATCAAATAATAAATATTATAAACCAGCTATACCTTTAGCTGCACCTATTATCACCAAACACAAAAGTATAGATTTCATCTTGTAAATATTTTATTACAACTGTCTCTTGAAGATATCTCTTTATAATACTTAAGTTTTAGATATTTATAATATTGAAAACTTATCTTATATATTTTTTTGGCATGAGTTTATCTTACTTAATGATAAGCAAACACTATCTAGGTATTTAATTGCCATCTTGAACTATGATATACACAATATTACTAATATTTTTTACATCAGTCTAACTGAAACAAATAAGTATCTTGTCGGCTTTTGTCGAATGGGCTGGTAAGTGGAAGGACACTATTTTGTTCTGAGATTGAAAAAGCGGTTTCAAAGACGGATGAACCATAAATGTGTTAAAGATCTCTACGGATATCTCGAAAAAATCACTAATGGATAGTCAAAACAAACGGCCTTGAGTGCCTGGCGTCTTTTAAATGGGACAGTGTAAAATGTAAATCGTATTGCAATGGATTATATAAAACTTTACAAATTATATAAAACTGGACAATAGTAGCAGTAAAAAAACTGACTTGTGGTAAAATTAAACAGTCATTTTTTCAACAAATTAGGATGGCGATATTGCTACTATTTAGAGCGTACTAAGTCTTGTAATTACTTTCAATTCCAAGGACCACCCACTGGCGTGGGAAATAAGAGAATACAAGCAGTTCAAGCAATACGTAATTTAATAATTAAATGTTACTACATCTAAGTAAATATCTAGCCAAAGTTTTAGCGCAAGTTCTTTTATTGAAATAGCCGATCACTGTCCATACACTGGTCCGCGACAAACTACAAACACTAGCACTTATACAGATTAAAATGTTACTGCTAATTATCATTTCAACTAAGGACGTTTTCTTCTATATATTATATACTTGATTAAGACTGAGCGTTCAGCTTTTAACTATAATCTGTGAAACAATAACTAAAATGCGAGAGATAAACTCTAAACAAGAAATGCGTCGAATTTTATCGAATGCGAAACTAAACACTAACTAATATGCAAGAGCTAAAAACTCTAAACAAGAAGAGACCAGCTCAGCTGGGATCCAAAGTTATACTAAAAAAATTTAAGATTCTGATTGCAATGCCTGACTATTGCAAGGGATTCGCAGGGGACGGGGAAAAACTTACAGCCTACCTACTTCTTCTTCTTCTTTCAGTACCCTGTCAGATTATTGAACGTTGGCGATCTTATTGGCAATAATAACTTTATTTACCGCGGCTCTAAATAAATTAGCGGTGGTTTCTTGATACCATTCTCGGAGATTTCGGGGCCAAGATGTTCTTTGTCGGTCTGGGCCTCTCCTTTCGGCGATCTTACCCTGTGTTATGAGGAGAAGGGTATATTTCTCTGGCTGTCTCATTACATGATCGAAATATTATAACTTTGGAATTTTTATCGTTTTTGTTATTTCTGTGCTCTTTTTCATTCGATGTAAAACTATTTAATTTCTTATTCGATCAACCTAACTTATCCGCAATACTCGTCGATAAATCCACATCTCAAAGTCATCTAATTTGTTTAGTAATGTCTCTGTAAGGGTCCAGCTCTCCATACCATACAGCAATGTGGAGAATATGCAGCAGCGTATTAATCTGATTTTAAGGTTTAACGTAATATCTCTATTAATTAGAATTTTCTTTAATTTATAGAAGGTGGCTCTGACTTTTTCAATGCGTATTCTTATTTCTTTCCTAAGGTAGCAGGTAGATACATTTTACGATCCCGGTAAAGTTAGGTCTACTTCAGGATCGCGACCCTGCCTATGCGAGCCGTGGCTCACTCTCAATCCCTTTAACCGAGAGGGTACCACGTCCCAACCTATCATCCTTGTCGATGACGCCAAATTCCCTAGCCCATCCTACAATCCTTCTACCAACCCGCACAGGCCAGCGTGGTAGAGAAACGGCCAGGAACCCCGTAAAATGAGAAAGAAACAAAATTCAAGGCCCTCAGTCTCCGGCAGTCCCTTGAAAACAGGCTATGGTAGCAGTCCTGTAGTTAGAGGGACAGAGGGTGCTAAGAATCACCGGAGTCAACCAGGCTACCTTCATAAACGACAACGGCAAAGAATATGGTTTATGGCAACATACAACACAAGAACATTGATGGAGGACGAAAAACTAGTTGAACTGGAAAACGAGCTGAATCATATAAAATGGGATATACTTGGATTGTCCGAAGTACGGCGAAAGGGTAAAGAACAAATGGTACTTCCGTCGGGAAACCTATTGCATTATCGAGGAGAGTCTTCCAATGGTGGCGTAGGATTTATGGTAAATAAAAAACACACAAAGAATATACTCACAATTAAAAGCATAAGTGATAGAGTTATATATCTTATCTACAAAGTAAACGAAAAAATTCGGTTAAAGATCATCCAGGTATATGCACCTACTAGTACCCATACAGATGAAGAAGTAGAATGGTTCTACGATGACGTTAACACTGCCATACAAGAGACAAACACCAACTTTACTATACTGATGGGAGACCTAAACGCCAAAATAGGCCACAAGCAAGATGATTCGGAGTTTGTAATTGGACCTCACGGATATGGCGATAGAAACGAAAGGGGTCAAACTTTCATAGAATTTCTTCTGCAACACAGGCTATATGTCATGAATACGCACTTTAAAAAAAGCGACCAAAGAAAGTGGACTTGGCAATCACCAAATGGTTTAAACAAGAACGAAATTGATTTTATATTTACTAACAAAAAAGACGCTGTTCAAGACGTAACTGTATTAAATCAATTTTCAACTGGAAGTGACCATAGAATGGTTAGGGCGAAGATAGTCTTAAACATACAGAAGGAAAGAAGACATATGGTAACAAGGACTAATAAAGTTACATTCACTGCGATTACTAACACCAGGGCATACCAGGAAGAAATAGAGAGTAATCTACAGAAAGACCTGCAAGATGAAAACAGTATTGAACAGCTTAACGAAAAATTGGTAGAAGCCCTGAAGAAGTCACAGAAGAAGTGCCAAGCCAAGCACTCAACAAAAAATGAAAAACTCACAAAAGACACAAGAAACCTAATGCAAAAAAGAAGGGAAATGAAAGAAAAGCATACAACGAACATTGCAGAGCTAAGGAATTTAAACAAAACCATTTCAAAAGCCATTAGGAAAGACATAAGGAATAAGGAACTTTAACACTAAGGAAATAACTGATACCGTAGAACAAAACAAAAGCCTAAAAGTTCTAAAACGTAAGTTGAAAATAGGAACGAGGAATATTTATAAGTTAAAAAATAATCAAGGACATGTCATACATGAACAACAAGAGATACTAAAAATCATCGAAGAGTACTATAGAACATTATATAGTCGAGATGATCACATTCCCGAAGTAGAAATTCCAGCAATACTAAATCAAGGGTCAGAGGAACTTCCAGATATAACCGAAGAGGAAATTAAGTCAGCATTAAAAGGTATGAAGAACAACAAAACACCTGGAGAAGATGGCATTGTAAGTGAAATGATAAAACTAGGAGGCGAATGCGTCATAAAGGCTTTAAAAACCCTTTATAATGCCTGCCTCTTTGAAGGAAATACGCCAGAAAAATGAAATAATGCCATTATGATAATATTGCATAAAAAAGGAGATGTAACAGAAATTGGCAACTACAGACCTATCAACTTTTTATCTCATTTATATAAACTCTTTATGAGAATAATTACTAACAGACTGGGACCTAAGCCAGATTTTCATCAACCTCTAGAGCAGGCCGGATTTAGGAGTGGCTTTGGAACAAATGACCACCTACAAGTAATAAAATCCTTGATAGAGAAAGTTATAGAATACAACAAGCCATTGATATTAATATTTGTAGACTTTGAGAAAGCATTTGACTCAGTCCAGCATAGCTCCATGTTAAGAGCTCTTACAGAGTGCAGTATTGACCATAGGTACACAACTCTTCTTCGAAATATATATGATAGCGCAACAGCTGCTGTAAAAATGTACTATGGTGACACAGACACATTTCCCTTGGAGAAAGGTATTAGGCAAGGAGACACTATCTCTCCTAAACTATTCACCGCCCTATTACAGAGTGCTATGAGAAAAAATAATTGGGAAAATATTGGATTAAATATAAATGGGGAATTTTTGAACAACTTGAGGTTTGCAGACGACATAGTCCTTATTGCAGATCAGGTAGATCATGCATGCCAACTTCTTCAAGACCTTCATAGCTCTTGTGCACGAGTTGGCCTTAAAATTAATTTTTCCAAAACACAATACATGACCAACCTGGTACTGGCAAAAAACATTTCCACTAATGGCACGCAAATTGAACAAGTGTATTCCTATAAGTATCTGGGCCACGAGATTAAATTGGGAAGAGACAATCAAACAACAGAGTTAAAAAGGAGAATAGGACTGGCATGGGCAGTTTACGGAAAACTGAGGGAAGTCTTTAAATCAGCTATTCCCATGTGCTTGAAGAGAAAAGTTTTTGATCAGTGTGTACTTCCAGTGCTGACATATGGAGCAGAAACATTGACACTTACCAGAAAAGTAATTAATAAGATACAAGTGGCACAGAGAGCGATGGAGAGGTCAATGTTGGGCGTATCACTCAGGGACAGAGTTTCGAGTCAGATAGTAAGGAGAAAAACTGGTGTGACGGACGCAGTTGAAAGAATTACAACCCTGAAATGGAACTGGGCAGGACATGTTGCTAGGGTCAGAGATAGAAGATGGACAAAGAAAATTTTAGAGTGGAGGCCTAGACACGATGCTTATCGTAGTCGAGGACGTCCTCCAACAAGGTGGTCGGACGATTTAAAGCGCATCCAGTCTAACTGGATTCAAGTTGCTCAAGATCGGATGCAATGGAATTATTTACGGGAGGCCTATGTTCAGCAGTGGATGCAAAATGGCTAATGATGATGATGATGATGATTCTTATTTCTTTACTTATATCCCAGTTATCGATAACATTTGCGCCCAAATAGGTAATATTGTGGACTATTTCTAACTCTATTCCATACGCTCTGATGTTCGTTGTTTGTAACTCCGTTTTGCTGACAACCATAAATTTTGTCTTATAAGTATTTAGTTTTA